AAAAAAAAAAAAAGCTACATATCTCCCACCCAATTTGCCTGCTCAGAACATCCAGAATGGCTGGCAGCAGTGGCTCAGGCCTGAAATCCCAGCACTTTGGTAGGCCAAGGCAGGTGTATCACCTGAGATGAGGAGTTCAAGACCAGCCTGACCACCACGGTGAAACCTCATCTCGAATTTCTTTTTTTTTTTGGAGACAGAGTCTCCTGCTGTCACCAGGCACCAGGCTCGAGTGCAGTGGCAAGATCTCGGCTCACTACAACCTCTGCCTCCCGGATTCAAGCAATTCTCCTGCCTCAGCTTCCCGGGATGCACACCACCACACCCAGCTAATTTTTTTTGTATTTATAGTAGAGACAGGGTTTTACCATGTTGGCCAGGATGGTCTCGATCTCTTGACCTGGTGATCTGCCCACCTTGGCCTCCCAAAGTGCTGGGATTACAGGCTTGAGCCACTACACCTAGCCGAATTTTTTTTTTTTTTTTAGATGGAATCTTGCTCTGTCACTCAGGCTGGAGTGCAGTGGCATGATCTCCACTCACTGCAACCTCCACCTCCCGAGTTAAAGCAATTCTCCTCCCTCAGCCTCCCAAGTAGTGGGGTTACAGGTACCCACCACCATGCCCAGCTTTGTATTCTTAGTTGAGACAGGGTTTCGCCATGTTGGCCAGGCTGGTCTCAAACTCCTGACCTCAGGTGATCCACCTGCCTTGGCCTCCCAAAGTGCTGGGATTACAGGAGTGAGCCCAGCCCAGAACATCTTTTAATCTACCTACAACCTGTAAGCCCCTGCTTCAAGATGTCCCATCCTTTAGGCCAAAGCCGATGTGTAACCTCCGTGTATTGCTTTAAGGTTTTCTTTTTTTTTTTTTTTCAGAAGGAGTTTTGGTCTTGTTGCCCAGACTGTAGTGTAGAGGCAGGATCTCAGCTCACCGTAACCTCCAACTCCCAGGTTCAAGCAATTCTCCTGCCTCAGCCTCCTGAGTAGCTGGATTACAGGCAGGTACCACCACGCCCAGCTAATTTTGTATTATTAGTAGAGACGGGGTTTCTCCATGTTGGTCAGGTTGGTCTTGAACGCCTGACCTCAGGCGATCTGCCCACCTCGGCCTCCCAAAATGCTGGGTTACAGACATGAGTCCCCACACCCAGTTTTTTTTTAAAAATTAGAAACAGGGTCTCCCTATGTTGCCCAAACTGGTCTTGAACTCCTGGCCTCAAGGGATCCTCCTGCTTCGGCCTCCCAAAGTGCTGGGATTACAGGTGTGAGCCACTGTGACTGGCCAGCTTTACAATTTTGTCTATAGCTTCTGCCTTCCTGAAATTTACCCCTGCCATTGAAAACCCTCTTTCCTCCTGTATTTGGTGTTCGAGAAATCCATTTCCCGCAGCCGCCCCTGCTATAATTTAAGTAATAAATAAAAAATAAAGTCTAGCTCTATTGTCCAGGCAGGAGTGCAATAGTGCTATCTCAGCTCACTGCAACCTCTCCCTCCCAGGTTCAAGCAATTCTTCTGCCTCAGGCTTCTGAGTAGCTGGGATTACAGGCAGGGCCACCATGCCTAGGTAATTTTTGCATTTTTAGTAGAGACAGGGTTTCACCATGTTGGCCAGGCCAGTCTCAAACTCCTGACCTCGTGATCCGCCTACCTCTGCCTCCCAAAATGCTAGGATTACAGGCGTAAGCCACCACACCCAGACATATGTTTTTTTGGTTTATTGTTTGTTGAGACAGAGTCTTGCTCTCTGGCCTGGCTGTTCGTCCTCTTCCTCCTCCTGGGATTACAGGTGTGAGCCACTAAGCCTGGCTGTTTCTCCTCCTCCTCTTCTTTTCCTTCTTTTTGGATTACAGGCGAGCCACCTGACCTGGCTGTTCCTCCCCCTTGTGCTCCTCCTTCTCCTGATTACAGGCATGAGCCACCACACCTGGCTGTTCTTCTCTGGCTGTTTTTTCTCCTCCTTCTCCTTCTCTTCCTCCCTTTTCCTCTTCCCTCCTTCTTCTTTTTTTTTTTTTTTTTTTTTTTTTTTTTGAGATTGAGTCTCGCACCGTCACCCAGGCTGTAGTGCAGTGGCGCAATCTCGGCTCACTGCAATCTCCACCTCCTGGGTTCAAGCAATTCTCCTGCCTCAGCCTCCCAAGTAGCTGGGACTACAGGTGTGTGCCACCACATCCAGCTAATTTTTTTTTTTTTTGTATTTTTAGTAGAGGGTTTCACCATGTTGGCCAGGTTGTTCTCCGTCACCATCACCTGACCTCATGATCTGCCCACCTTGGCCTCCCAAAGTGCTGGGATTACAGGCCTGAGCCACCATGTCCGGACTCATTTTTATTTCAATTTATTTTTTTATTAAGATGGGGTTTCACCATGATGGCCAGGCTGGTCTTGAACTCCTGACCTCAGGTGATCCACCCACCTCAGCCTCCCAAAGTGCTAAGATTATAGGTGTGCCGGGCGCGGTGGCTCAAGCCTGTAATCCCAGCACTTTGGGAGGCCGAGGCGTGTGGATCACGAGGTCAACAGATCGACACCATCCTGGTCAACATGGTGAAACCCCGTCTCTACTAAAAATACAAAAAATTAGCTGGGCATGGTGGCACGTGCCTGTAATCCCAGCTACTCAGGAGGCTGAGGCAGGAGAATTGCCTGAACCCGGGAGACGGAGGTTGCGGTGAGCCGAGATCGCGCCATTGCACTCCAGCCTGGGTAACAAGAGCGAGACTCCGTCTCAAAAAAAAAAAAAAAAAAAAAGATTATAGGTGTGAGCCACAGCACTCAGCTCATTTTTATTCTTTAATTTGGAGTCTTGCTCTTGTCACCCAGGCTGGAGCACAATGATGCAATTCTGGCTCACTGCAACCTCTGCCTCTTGGGTACAAACAATTCTCCTGCTTCAGCTTCCTGTGTAGCTGGGATTACAGGCACTTGCCACCATGCCCAGCTAATTTTTGTATTTTTAGTAGACAGGATTTCACCATGTTGGCCAGGCTGGTCTCAAACTCCTAACCTCAGGTGTTCCACCCACTTCCGCCTCCCAGAGTGCTGTGATTACAGGCGTGAGACACTGTGTCAGCCTTATTATTATCAGACAGTTTGGCTCTTGTTGCCCAGGCTGGAGTACAATGGTGCAATTTCGGCTCACCTTACCCACTGCCTCCCAGGTTCAAGCGATTCTCCTACCTCAGCCTCCCAAGTATCTGGGATTACAGGCATGTGCCACCATGCCTGGCTAATTCTTTGTATTTTCAGTGGAGACAGGGTCTCACCATGTTGGCCAGGCTGGTCTCCAACTCCTTGCCTCAGGTGATCCGCCTGTCCCGACCCCTCAAGTACTGGGATTACAGGCAGGAGCCACGGCACCCAGCCTTGTTTCTTTAGTAAACAAAACCTGTCAGTACTCTCAAAATCACTTGGCAGGTGTTATTCATTCTTCCTTGAGTTTAGGTTGTTTATCTTTGTTAATAAAACGTAAGTTTCAGACATTTCTTGTTTCTTTTAGGGACAGGGTCTTGTTCTGTTACTCAGGCTGGAGTAAAGTGGTGCAGTCACAGCTCACTGGAGCCTCCCGCCTCAGCCTTCCAAGTAGCTGGGACTATAGGCATACACCACCACAACCGGCTATTTCTTTTTCTTGTTTTTCAGACAGAGTCCCACTCTGTGGCCCAGGCTGGAGTGCAGTAGTGCGGTCTTGGCTCACTGCAACTTCCGCTTCCCAGGTTCAAGCAATTCTCCTGCCTCAACTTCCCAAGTAGCTGGGATTACAGGCATGCACCACTACGCCCAGCTACTTTTTGTATTTTTAAGAGATGGGATTCCACCATGTTGGCCTGGCTGGTCTCCAACTCCTGGCCTCAAGTGATCCACCAGCCTCACACTCCTAGAGTGCTGGGATTTCAGCTGTGAGCCAATGTGTCCTGCTTGGCTAGTTTTATTTTTTTAATGTGGTAGCTGGGAAATTGCTATGTTGCCCATAATCCTTGCTATGTGCTGGGATTACAGGCATGAGTCACTACTCCTGGCCGAGGAGGTCACTTTGACACGCTGTTTGAAGGGGATGGGCCCCGGACAGGGCAGAGGCTGTGACGGGAGCCCCCTCTTCCCTCCCCATCTATGACTCCCACTGCCCTTGCCCAGTTTTCTCCGCTTCCATTTGTTTTTTGAGAGACAGGGTCTCACTCTGTTGTCCAGGCTAGAATGCAGTGGCGTGATCATAGCTCACCGCAGTCTCCACCCCTGGGCGCAAGTGATCCTCTTGCCTCAGGCCTCAGCCTGACAAGTATCTGGGACTATACGCATGCACCGCCACACCAGGCTAATTATTTGTTTTATTACTGGGTAAAGACGGGGTCTCCCTGTGTTGCCCAGGCTGATCTCGATCTCCTGGCCTCAAGCATCCTTGCACCTTGCCCTTCCAAAGTGCTGGGATTACAAGCCATCCCGTCCTGCCTTTCCAGTCCCTCGTCATGCCCACTGGCCAGTCCTGGAAAGCTCAGCTTCGAGGGCGACAGGCTGGGGCAGGAAACACACAACAGCGTCCTCTCATGCTCACTTTATTTGGGAGCAGGTGCAGAAGGACCTAGGCCTGCTGTGCCCGCAGTAGCGCCCGCACCTGGTGGATCTGCCAGTCAACGCTGGAGCGCGCAGTGCCGCCCAGGGCACCATACTGCTCCACGCTGTGCCCGTAGTCCCACACGCGGTTCACGTCACTCAAGAACAGGGGGCTGCGGAGAGAGGGAGAGCTGGGCCAGGGCACGGGCTACCCCGGCCTCCAGGCACCCAGGCTCACCCACTAGGAGGCAGCGTGGGGGGGGGTGGGCCGCACCTGATGGTCTGCAGCTCCTGCAGTGACAGCTGGTTGAGGGCGACCCCCTTGGTCTCAGCCATGAACACAGCTTTCCCGGAGGCCTCGTGGGCCTGGCGGAATGGCATCTGGGTGGCGGGGAGGAAGGTGGCCCTGAGGCAGCTTCCTCCATGCCCTGATCTGCCTCCATTGCCTGTACCCCTCCCTTTTTTTTGGGGGGGTACAAAGTCTCGTTCTGCCGCCCAGGTTGAAGTGCAGTGACTCAATCTCACCTCACTGCAACATCCGCCTGCCAGCTTCAAGAAATTCTCCTGCCTCAGCTTTCTGAGTAGCTGGGATTAGAGGAATGTGCCACCACATCCGGTTAATTATTGTATTTTTAGCAGAGACAGGGTTTCACTACATTGACCAGGCTGGTTTTGAACTCCTGGCCTCAAGAGACCCGCCCACCTTGGCCTCCCAAAATGCTGCGATTACATGTGTGAGCCACAAGACTGGGCTGCCTGTGCCCCTCCCTGAGTTCCCCTACCCTCTGGGGGGCACCCCGTCTCCTCCCCCTCCCACTCACTGCTACACACTCACTCCTTTGCGGACCAGATAATAGGCGAGGTCAGTGGCCAGCATGTCGGGGCTGAGAGCCTGTCCCATGTTCTCTCGGTGAATCTGGGGGTACAGGTGGGAAGTGTTGAGCCCTGGGGACCTGGGGTCTGAAGCTGCAGGCCCAGGACCTGCCCCTCTGCCAGGATGTCCCTGCCTTGGGCAGTTCCCCTCTTACCACTCAGCTCTGTCACCCTCAGCTTGAACCATCTTCTCAGAATTATCAATAGTATTTATGTGTGCTATTACCATTTACTGGCCTGTGTATTTTACTGGCCTTTATGGTTTCAAAGTGTCCTTATCTTTAGCATGCATCAGAAATTCCTGGAGGATTTGTTTTCTTTTTTAGAGACAGGGTCTTGCTCTGCTGCCCAGGCTGGAGTGCAGTGCGGCAATCATGGCTCTCTGCATTCCTGATCTCCTGGGCTCAAGGGATCCTCCCACATCAGTCTCCTGAGTGGCTGGGACCACAGATACATGCCATCTCAACTGGATAATTTAATTTTTTAAATTTTAGAAACAGGGTTTTGCTGTGTTGCTCAGACTGGTTTTGAACTCCTGGGCTCAAGCAATGCTCCTGCCTCAGCCTCTCAAAGTGCTGGGATTACAGGTATGGGCCACCAGGCCTAGCCACTGGAGAATTGATTAAAAATACAAATTGCTGGGGACTACCCCCAGAGTTTCTGATTCAGCCATCTGGAGTGAGGCCTCACACTGCATTTCTCAGGAGTTCTGAGGTGCTGCTGCTGCTGCTAGTTGGGGTACTAGCTTTAAGAAACATTTTTTTCTTTTTTGAGATGGAGTCTTGCTCTGTTACACAGGCTGGAGTGCAATGGCATGATCTCTGCTCACTGCAATCTCCATCTACCGGGTTCAAGCGATTCTCCTGCCTCACCCACCCAGTAGCTGGGATTACAGGCACGTGCCACCACACCCAGCTAATTTTTATATTTTTAGTAGAGACTGGGTTTCACCATGTTGGGCAGGCTGGTCTCAAACTCCTGACCTCAAGTGATCTGCCCACCTTAGCCTCCTAAAGTGCTGGTATTACAGGTGTGAGCCTCCATGCCCAGCCAAGAAACACTGATTTTAAGACACATTCTGAACTATTCAGGAATGAAATAATGTGATGATGGGAATTTGCTTCGAAGTAAGAGGGTGAAGGAGTGGGGGAAGGCTGTGGGTAAAGACAGCTGGTCCCAGAATGTCCGTGAGTTGATTATTGTTGAAGCTGGGTGTCAGTACATAGGACTTATTATGTGTTTTTTAGCTGTTAGATACAGAAATTTCCCGTAAGAATTGATTTTAAAAGAAATCAGCCAGGCAAAGAGGCTCATGCCTGTAATCCCCAAACTTTGGGAGACGAAGGTAGAAAAATGGCTTGGGGCAAAGTGTTTGAGACCAGCCTAAGCAACATAAGGAGACCCTGTTGCTACAAAAAATTTAAAAATTAGGCCGGGCGCGGTGGCTCAAGCCTGTAATCCCAGCACTTTGGGAGGCCGAGGCGGGTGGATCACGAGGTCAAGAGAT